TCAAAATCATATATTTTTTATATTTATAGATAGTGGGATGTATAAATTGAGACTACGCCTACAGTTCTTTGATTTAAATCAGTGTTAAAACTTGTTTATTTTTTAGTCGATCATTAAATTATTATTTAAGTTAAATTAGCTCAAATTCGATATAACTAAAAAATAATCACTATTAATTATATTTTGATGATAAGAATTATCTATTATAATAGAAATAATTAATCATTTCTCAATTGCTAAAGCCTTGATATCATCTTTCTATAGTTTTAACATAATGTCTTCTGGAATAATTTTAAAGGTGAGAATAATGAGAATAATCCCTTATCGGCTGGGAAGTGGGAACGTAATCTTGGAATAATTTCCAGTTTATACACATGGAAAGGGTTTATTATGAAGAAGTAAAGTCTAGAGTTTATTTTATTTAAAAAAGAAGAAGAAGAGTCTAGGGTCTGTAAAGATAGTTCCAAAGAATATTAATATAGGTATAAAGTTTTGATGGTAATTGATTCTAAATCCTAAAAAATACTAATTAATTTGTAAATTTTATTATCTACTCTGTCAAAAGTTCTTAACCTTTTGACTGGGATGTTTGATTTATCTAATAATATTCTTATTGATTTTATAGATGTTTCATGGTAGAACTCATATTTATATAAGAGCAAAAAATAATTTTAAATGTATCTAATAATTTTTCAAAATCATATTTTTTATATATATATTTATAGATAGTAGAATATTTTTATAATAGTTATCGCATAAATTGAGACTAAATTCGTCACTTTTTGAAATAAATCAATATTAAAACACGTTTATCTTTTAATCGATTATCGTAATACTATCTATTAAATGAAACCAGATAAAATTTGATACTATTAAAATATAATTATGATTAATCATCGGTTAATAATGAGAATTATTTATTAAAATAGAAATAATTAATCATTTCTCAATTGCTAAAACCTTGATATCGTCTTTCCATAGTTTTAACATAATGTCTTCTGGAATAATTTTAAAGGTGAGAATAATCTTTTCTCGATTGGGAAGTGGGAACTTAATCTTGGAATAATTTCCAATTTTATACACATGAAAAGGGTTGATAACGAAGATGTAAAGTCTAGAGTTTAATTTGTTTAAAAAGAAGAAGAAGAGTCCAGAGTTTGTAAAGATAGTTCTAAAGAATATCAATGGTATAAAGTTTTGATCATAACTGATCCTAAATCCTAAAAAATACCAATTAATTTGTAAATTTTATTATCTGCTCTATCAAAAGCTCTTAACCTTTTGATTGGGATGTTTTAACTTTCTTATGAAGGATTTGGTAGCTCAGAAAATCCAATGGTGATTCGTCTTCAAACTTCTGCTTGATTTCCTTGCCCAGCAAAATAAAAAATTTCTAGATTCAATCGTTGTATTTTTTTATTGGGATGGGACAACTAATTATGGTTTAAAAATTAGTTCATATTTTGTTTAATTTCTTGTAATATATAGAAGTATGAAAAATAGATTAAAAAAAAAGATTTATGTGGCATGGTCCAACCTCTGTGAATAATTTTCTTCTATTTTTTCTACTGAATCAACCTGTCAACCAAGAAATTTGACCCATTTAGTAGTTAGTCAGTCAACTGAAAAGGAAAATTAATTACATTCTATAGAAAAAAAAAAAAAAAAAAAAAGGTCAATGAAAAAAATTAGTCTGGTCATACAAATTGTAAAGGTGGCAAAAAAGCCTATTGACTCGCCTAACTGGGTCTCAATCAATCACAGACAAAATGGAAAATTCTTCTAATAGATTATTAATTAATTGATAATTTTTTAAGGAAAAAAAATTCATATTGCCATACATATTCCACTCTATAAATTTCCAAGTCAAACTTTGAAGTTTGACCCTTTGAATAGAAGGTAGGAATATAGGACAGCTACATGTAGAGGAATGAGATAGTGGAGATAAAAAAGAAAGAATATAATTTTTTCTTTTTCTTCTGATCGATGATAGCATTCGGTTAAATGTAGAGAATTAATGTGGATATTTTTTTAAGCAGTAAAGACTATCTTCAAATTAGTTTTAATGTATTTTGAGATTAATTTCTTTTTGGGCATTGGTAAAAAAATACTTTTTAATACATAATTTTGGATATTTTGAAAATAAATTCTTAAGTACACCGACAAAAAGAAATCCAACTCCGAACACTGATCAACAAATAAACATTTATTTACCAACGAGACTATCACATGGAATTTCTTTGCAAATATGATTAAACATATCTAAAATTGTTGTCCAAAAATATATTATTAATAGCTATTGTCTTTTTCACCCATTTTTTATTTTATATTTAACACAAAAATTATAAGCATAAATAATTCCACGTTTCAATTAATCACCAATTCTACTATCTTTATTTTTTTTAACCATTCTTTAAATGAGATTTCAAAATCAACATTATGATAAATCATGCTCGATAGTTTTGAAGTTATTCATATTTACTTAAATTCTTAATTACCGATTAACTAGTTTTTTAATTAAATTATAGTGACATTTCAAGATCTATTAAGACATCTCGGATTTAAATCCTAATATTTGTGTAAAACTAATGTAAAAAATAGCCTGATTGTATTAATAATTTTTAATTGTTGGAAAATTGATGCTTTAAAAATAATTCTTGCTATACTCTTTACTTTTTATTTTTGACTAAATAAGAATATATATATATATATATATATATATATATATATATATATATATATAATATTACTTAAAAAATCCATACCTTTTTCTTCGTGGATAAGAAGCATGCCAAGACATTCTCGAACAGAAGCTAAGAGACTAATAATTTAGCATTATTTACATGTCAATTGTTAAATCTAACTTTAATCTCAATTATAACCAATCATATAAATGTCTTGTATAAATCACAAGTCAATATAGTGATTTTACTCTATATTAATCCAACAAAATAAACAGTAGAAGTGATTTTTGGGAAAAGACCAATAAAATAAATTCATTTAAAAAAAAAAATTGATCATGCTTTTTTGCAATACAGTCCTTTTTATTATTTTATTCCAATGTTTTTTTTTTCCCAACTAAACCTTTAGATATAAATAAATTAATTTCCTTTTATACTTATACTGGATAAATCTCGAATTAAAATCCTTGCCTGGAAATTTTTGCACTTAACGAATACAATATATAATACATTCGATCAATCTTTTATCTACTAACTTAAATTTATGAAACTTTTTTTTTGGAAAAAAAAGAAAAAAAAATTATGAAGCTTTTGTAATTCAATTCTATATTAAGTTTTAACCTTATTGGATTAAATTAACTAGATATTTTTTCTATAAATAATACATTTTCAAGACTAGTTTCCTCTGTATTTAGATTAAATTTTCTCTCATCGCACCTCATACGCATTATGCATATCTAAATTGATGTATTTAGATTTCGTTTTAGTTAGATTAAATTACTTTCTTATTATATCAATATTATATGCATCTAAATTGACGTATTTACTAGTCAAAACAACAATAAGAAAATAAATCTAGTTATTTTTTTTTAGTTCGACAATAGAAAATATGTTTAGTTAATTTGTACATCAATTGAGATTAAATCTCATTTTTAAACGAATTTAAAAATACATTTTCAGTAAGAAAATATGATCCAACAAGTATATCTTGACGATTTTTCATACTACATAGTTTTTTAATGAACGAGATTCGAGTCTAATTAATTCTAGTTTATTTAATTATTATGAAATAAAAAATAATTATTTTTTGATATATAGCAGCGTATCTCAAAAAATAAAAAATCATAAATAAATAAATATATGGTCTTAACCTACTTGCTAATAATAAATAAATAAATAAATGAAACATGTGATTGGATTATTAAAAGGAAAAAAAGCTTGTTTTCACCTGAGTGGGGTTGGCTTTGAATAGAAGAAGTTTTAATTATTAAGACAAATGACCTCGAGTTTAAATTCTTATATATATAAAAAAACTTATTGAGTAATAGCTATGTCTGTCTTGTGTATTTGATCAAATATCTAGTCTAAACCTTCTTTAGATCAAGGCACCACAAAAAAAAAAAAAAAAAAAAAAAAAAAGAAGAAGCTGGTTTTCGGACAAAGAAGTAGACAAACTACATGGGACATAACTACAAGAACCATAGAGCGAGAGAGGGTTAAAGAGCTACTCACGAAATCTCGTTTCTCGGGCCATCCGTTCACGAATACCAAGGAAATTATTTTCTTTCCTGTTTTACCCTTCTGTTATTTTTTTAATTAATTTATTTGTGCATACTGTTTTTTCTTTTATTTATTTTTATTTTCTCCTTCTGTGAGTGTTAATGCCTCGCTTTCTTCACATATATAGAGAGACACCAAAAAACCATACAAATTTTAATGGATGGTTTGATCTGTGCTCTCTCCACACTCAGAGAAATCTCTTAAACAAAACAAAACAAAAAAACAAACCCATGTAAGCATTTCTATTTTCTATTTTCTTTTGGGAAATTTTGTTGAAAAAATTTGGAACTTTTTTGCTTGTTTAATGATAATCTGCAACTCGTGATTCTGCTTCTTTTCTACTAATGCAATCACATGATCTTCTACTTCATGTTAATAGGTTTTCATTTTTGTGTGGTGAGTTTTTTTTTTTTTTTTTTTAAGGAAAAGATGAATTTTTTGAAGTTTTTATTTTGATGGTTTTGTTATTAAAGTATGGAACTATTTCTAATTTATTGAAGGACCAGGTTCAATGGGTGTGGATTGGGATCCATGTTGGATCTCTTGGTTTTTGTTTTATTGTTAACGTAATCATTGCCGTTTGATTTAATAAGTTTTTAAATGGAAACTAGAGGCTGATCTTGGTTTTTGTGTTTCTGTTTTTGTTTTTAATTTTTTTTCCAGTTATTTTGGGATTGCTTCTGCTGAAGGATAGAATTTTAGCAGGCTTAAAAAGTTGGTTCCTTGAGAAGGGGTTTCATGGGTTGAACTCAAAGAATAATGGGAAGTTTGAGTGAAGAGGAGTACCGATTTTTCGATGCCTTTGAAGACATTGCATCAATTTCTGATGCAAAGTCTGATAGCTTTGAGATATTTGATTCTCGTTCTAGTTTTGATAACTCCATTACAAGTAGTCCTCATTATGAATTGTGGATTAAGAGCCCTAGAAGTGTTCAAGAGCGGCGGAGTAAATTCTTTGATTGGATGGGAGTAGGTTTAGATCAAAATGGAAATAGGAATTTAGAAGCATGTAGCTTGGAAGGAGAGACTGATAGAATTAGAGAAAGCAGTGGGGCTGTGTTGAGAAAATCATGTCTTGAAGGTGAATTTTGTTCTACTCGGTCTATGATGTCGTGTTGGTCTAATGGTGAATCTAATTTGTTGGCGGAGTGCAGTTCGATGGACAATTTTGTTTGCAGAGATGGAGTTTCAGGTGGGGGAATGATGTGCAATGTAGATGAAGTGGGGCAAGATGTAAGAGCAAATGAAGGTTGTGAAGGGGGCTCAGAACAGTCAGTAACAGCAGAAGAATCTGAGAACATTTTTGACTCATCTCCGTCATTTCAACAACTTATGCAGAATGAAGTTGGGGAACCAAATACTTTAGTGGATACTCCAAGGAGACTTAAGAAAGGATGGTTAAGTAGAATACGTTCCATATCATGCATTGTGGATAGGCAACGGGAAGATGACAAATTGAGACCTGATGATGATGGTGCACTTCTGGGGTACAGGGTACAAAGAGTCAAGGCTCGCCGATGTGGGAAGCGAACAAAGGAGCTTTCAGCTCTATATAAAGGGCAAGATATCCAGGCCCATGAGGGTTCAATCTTGACCATGAAGTTTAGTCCTGATGGGCAGCACCTTGCAAGTGCTGGTGAGGATGGGGTTGTGCGTGTGTGGCAAGTACTGGAGGGTGAGAGATCATATGAACTTGACATTCCAGAAATAGATCCATCCTGCATATACTTCACAGTGAACCATCTATCTGAGTTGAAACCCCTCATTGTTGATAAAGAGAAGACAGCTAAAACGAGGAGCATGAGGAAAACATCTGATTCTGCATGTGTCATTTTCCCTCCGAAAATTTTCCGGATTTCGGAGAAACCATTGCATGAGTTCCATGGGCACAATGGAGAGATCTTGGATCTCTCATGGTCCAAAAATAATGTAAGTTGCTTCATAAAGGATGCATTTCTCTAACAACCTGAAGAAAACAAAGCATAATATTTACAGAAATTCTATGTTCTTTGTGCAGCATTTACTATCAGCTTCAGTGGATAAAACAGTCCGTCTATGGCAAGTGGGACGTGACTGTTGCTGCAGAGTCTTCTCACATAGCAATTATGGTGCGCTTCTGGCTAATTTTATGTTTCTTCCCAACATATGTTTAGTTAGATTAGCTGTTCATCAAGTTATTACTTTCCTCTGTATTTCGTTATTTATTTATTTAGTTTGTATGTGATGCAGTAACCTGTGTTCAGTTTAACCCTGTGGATGATAACCACTTCATGAGTGGTTCAATAGATGGAAAAGTTCGCATATGGGCAGTTTCTAGTTGCCAAGTTGTTGATTGGACTGATATAAAAGATATAGTTACTGCAGTGTGCTATCGTCCAGACGGGCAGGTTTGGCAATTTTCTCTCAACTCTTTTATATTATGGAATTGATGATCTGAGGGTGTATGTTCCCATGTTAAGTGGCCTCATAGAAAAACCTTCTCTTCTTGTAGGGAGGGATTGTTGGCTCTATGACAGGCAACTGTCGCTTTTATAATATGTCAGGTATGCATATTCAGACAATTAGCACCTGCTACATTCTACAGGTGTTAGGACATAGCAAGTCAAAATGCTGTTACTTTACATTTGTAGAAGTAGTCATTTTGATGAGATGCTATATCCTGGTTGAATTACATGTCATATGGGCAATCTCTCTAATTCTAACCTATGCGATTTAGTAGTTTTAGATGCAAAGTTCATTTCATTGAGAATGTATAGTTCGGTTTCTTAAGCCAAATAAATAGTGTTTGTTTCCGCTGTGAAGAACTCTTGCAATTGTGTTTTATGGATTTTGTGCATATATTACGGGTTTGGTGGCTTGTACCTCAAAAGAAGTTCATAGTAAATTAGGTTCTGTAGTAATAAAGATCTAGTTTTGCCTCAGATTAACTTTGAGTTTTATGCATTTAAGCATTTAAAGAAGAAATATATATTCACTAATTGGGCTATTGTTTCACCTGGTTCAGACAGTCAATTGCAACTTGATGCTCCGATCAGCTTACTTGGTAAAAAGAAGTCACCTTGCAAAAGAATAACTGGCTTCCAGGTACTCGTCGTTTGCCTTCCGATGCTGCTTTTGCTGCTTTTTCTCTGCACATGTTGTTTACTGTTTTACCTCATTGCATGCCTTCAACTTCAGTTTTCCCCACAAGACTCGACCAAAGTAATGGTGACTTGTGCTGATTCACAAGTCAGAATTCTTCAAGGACGTGATGTGATAGGCAAATATAAAGGTATGTATCTTTAGCTCCATTTCAGTATCTTCTTTTCAATGTCATCTAATAATGTTTGCTGCTTCAGACAAGTCAGATGCTTTATTGGTAAACATTGATTGCTTGTAGATATGCCAAGTATTTATAGATTTCATGTTGTGGAACACAAATGGGCATGCAGCATGTAATTTTATGAAATATGTGAATATAAGACTCTGTTTTGGTATATTAGTTATCTAAACTGCTCAACTTTTTATCTTAATTTTTTTTTTTTTTAATCTCTCTCTGTTCTGTAGGCAATGCAGCAAACCAGATATCTGCATCTTTTACTTGGGATGGAAAGCATATTATCTCGGCTTGTGAGGATTCCAATGTACATTTGTGGAATTACATTGATCAGGAACCTCGATCAAAAATCTCAAGGTCTTATGAGCATTTCTCTGCCAATGCGTCTGTTGCTATACCTTGGTGTGGGTTGAAATGTCGGAGCTCAGAGAATGGATGGGGATTTCGTGTCTCAGACTATAATTCACAGGAAGTTCTGCCTCTTTCTTCTCCGGCTAGTTTCTCTCTGAGTCAAGAATATCTAGAGTTTTTTCCCAAGGGCTCTGCCACTTGGCCAGAGGAAAAGCTTCCTTCGAGCCCATTATCTATGTCACCAGCAATGCACAAATCCCAGTACAAGTTTCTGAAAACTTCATGCCAGAGCGCAGGCAGTTCTCATGCATGGGGGCTAGTCATCGTGACTGCAGGGTGGGATGGAAGAATAAAATCATTCCACAATTATGGGTTACCGGTTGCTGATTGAAACTATAGTGGTACTGCAGTGCTTCAGAGAATCAGGATCTTCCTTTTCATTGGGATTTTTGGTGCCCCCTTTGATGGATTCACATGCTGCAAAATCTGGTGTTGTGTAGGTGACCAATTAGCAGTGATTTGACATCATTAAAAGTTGCCAGCTTGCTCTACTTTTAATGACGTATGCAATATAGATGAATGTTTGAGAATTTAGGCAGGGCCCTTCTCGGATCACAAGTGCACTGTAAAGAAGCATATATGACAAGGGGCAACAGTTCTTTGGTTGCGATGATTATCCAGTTTCGGGTGAGCAAGAGGCTCAGGTTAGCTTATCTAGATGCCCAGCTTAATTATAAAATCTGTTGATACTTTTTGCGTGAGAAAATTTTGTCTGCCGGCCCGAAAAAGATATGCAAGTCATGTGTTAGGAGAGAGACCAATTTGAGGTACTCTTTATAATAGAGGTGCTTGTGGGACCTTTGCTTAACCTCTTTCTTTGGCTTGCTAAAACGGGAGGAGGGAATCCATAGCTGGTGGTTGCAGTTTGTTTGGGGGAAAAATGGTGGGGAACTCTGCCATTATAACTTGTTGGCCAATCTGAATGATTGAATTCTTTGTCTGCCATTTCAGGCTTCGTGGTAGGGTCGATCTCACCTGAACTTGGCGGTGGGGTTGTATTCAGCTTCATTTTCAGCTGAATGACTTGTTTGATTAGCCTAATGCTTGCGTATGCGAATCCCCATTTTGCTTGGTGAATGGATTTTCAGGTGAAAGCTTCTGGCTTTTAAAATTTCGAGGATGCTGGCAGGCAGTTGACTAACTTTGATCATTGCGTGAGTTCTGATTATCCTTTTTGTCTCGCTAACAGAATTTTGTATATTGTATCTCTTGAATTTATTCTAACATCACTTAGATTAGCTTTGAGGTTATTTATCTTCAGAAAATTTAGAAGAAATGCCCTCCAGTTTAGAATAGGCAATTGTGATTATGTAAATAATAAACCTGTTCAGAGGTTATTTTCCTTGTATTCTGTTGTGGGAATTGGCCTGGAAAATTTAAAAAAAAAAATGAAATTGATGAGCATTTGTGCACAGTTTCTGTGCCAGCTAGTAGTCTCTATCTCAAGTACTGTGTCTTCGTTTTCATGTGCTAAATTCCTTTTCTCGACAAGAACTTGTCAAAAACCTTTATTTCCTACGATAATAACGTAAACAGAAAAATTCAAATACATTGAAAGTATGGTTTTTTCATCAGCAACCAAGGTAGAATAAAGTATACATAAATAATATGCACAGAACACATGGGTTTAGATCATGGTTTTAAAAAACGGATGTAACGGCCGTTATATAACGGTAATGAGGTAATCTGTTACTGTTTTTCGGTGTTATAAGAGCTTTAGTGTCGTTTCACGCCTATAATAGCAGATAATGGTGTTATCGTTATGTAGTATCGTTGTTAGCCGTTATATAACAACGTTATATATAAAAAAAGTTATATATAAAAAAAAATTAAATCGTTGAAAAAAAAAACTTAAAATGTTGCTAGACATTTTTTATCTTCTTTTGCTTTTTTCCTCCTGCAATTACTAATGAAGAGGGACTTTTTTTGTCTTCTTTTGCTTTCTTTCTCCTTCAATTACTGAAATTATAATATATTTTATTATTTTTCCATTGATATCAATCTATTGAAAGTGTTATTAATTATTTTTTATAATAAATTTAACTATTGTTATATGTCATTAAACTATTAAAGATATGATTATTTATTATTATGTTTAATTAGTAAAATTATAAAAAAAATATGAATTTGAATAAATTCATTATCGGTTGTTATTGTATTCACACAATTAACTACCGTGACCATTATTTTAGGATCGCGATGAGCCACGACCCGCGATTGTGATCACGATCGTTTTTTCAACCGTAACCGCTATTTAAAACTATGGTTTAGATACTTGTTGCTCTCCGTTTGGCTGAACTGATTTGTTCAGACACTAGCAAGAAAACATTAGCTAATTTGTTGGTTTAGTTGGCAGGGCCTGCTAGGGCATGAAGATGGCATCACTTCCCATTATTAAAGACTAAGCCTTCTTTTTCTAGACAATAACTTGTCTTAAATCATTTCAAGGGAGAAACAAACAAGAATAGGAGGCTGATGATGGAGATTCCAATTTCAAAACTTTGTCACCAACTTTAGAAAATCATTATAAGAAAGAATAACATAACTTTGTGCCTATTCTATTTTTCTCAATGCGAAACATCCACATGGATTTGTACAATATCATGGGTCAGGATCCTTGGATTCCTCTTAACATGGCTACATTACATCTCAAATCAAGATTTTTTTAAGGCAGATGAGACAGAAGAAAGCCATTAATTTCATGTGGTTGGACAGAACTAAAGCCTTCATGGGCCATACTTAACTCTTTAACACAAAATAATTAGCACTTTACAATGAGTACGGAGGTCCCTTAATTAGGAGACAAAACTAATGACTTTGTTTTTAAGGGACAAAACCTAAGCAATATCATATACCTAAGCTTTGAGCTGTAAACCTAATCGATCATCATCCTTGGATTTTGGAGTCGAGTTGGATTGGATTATTATTTTTTTAACTAGCTAGACAAAAACTTTGTTTACAGATCCAAACACAGATATACCCGACAAAGAAACATAGCATTTGCCAAACCCTAATCTACATAGGTTTTTGCTTTGTACTTTTGATTAATGAACCTGTTTAGTCCACTAAAACAAGTACTAGTTAATTACATATGTTGCTGTTCTGTTTTGTGCTTTTGTGTCACCGGCTATTAAAGTGCAGCATGGACTAGGCTTTCCCGGTTGGGCTATGTCTAAGAAAAGAATCCTCTTTCTCCGGGATTTTGTTCTTAAAAGCTTTGAAGAGAACTAAATTTTTTGGTCACTAGACTTAATTTATATATATACAGGAAAAAATTGGCTCATGACAAACCAAATAAAATATTTTATACTTTACCTATAGATATTGGTAACTTAGTTGATAATCATTTTAAATCTCGTACCTAGTTATAAAAACGATTGTGATCGCAAATTGTGTTTGATTGAGATAATAAAATAACGGTTATAACATCCAATGTCGTAAGTGCATGAATGATCGCTAATAAATATATAAAAAAAAATTGAAAATAATTTTTTGAAAAACAATAATATAACATTCGTTATTTATCATATAACGATTGTTACGAATACATAATATCATAATTCGAGAGATTGTATTGTGTATAATGGTGAAAAACAAAAAGCAAAAACGGCCTTGGCTAATTCTATTATTTGAAACTATGTAGTTGATGACTAGAAGAGGAACTTCAAGATTATTTCTTTTTTTATTTTTAAAAGGCTGTTCGAATAGGAGTTAGTTAGGCTTCAAATATTTCCTGTAATTTGAGCTGCTAGTAATTTCGGCTAATCCTTTTGCCTTCTTTTTCTAGACTTTGTATTGGTCCTTGTGTTGGCCATCTCGATGTCACAAATTTGGGCTAGGCCCAGTAAAGCATGAACCTTTTTTTTTTATTAAAAAAAGAAAAAGAAAAGAAATTGCATGAATATTTTTTCCAAGACATTTCATGGTTGAATAAGTTGATTCGACCATAAAAGCCCATAAATTTATGGTTGAAATTTTCAAAATAATTTAAGTAAGAAAGAAAGAAAGAAATTATAAGCATTATTGCATGAATATGTTTGAATGGTTCCCCATGACTTTCTTATTGATATATGAATGATTTTACCTTGCGATCTTATTGACATACGAATGCATTCTGGTGATATAGATACTGATTTTACTTCGCATTCTTATGTTTCCTTGCATGGGATTTCACATTGTGTTTTTATTAACTATATAGAAAAACTTTCATTTTTATACAAGTCTTAGGGTTTCATAATATGAATATTAAAAAGAAAAATTCGAGGTTTTTTGTTGCTTTCAAATTGATATTGTTATTAGTGAGAAAAGAAGCGCTTAGCAGGTGGCAACAAGAGGAGGAAACCAAACATACTGATAACGGGTACACCAGCCGGAACTGGGAAAACAACTACAGCTTCTGCTCCGGCAGAGGCTACCCAGCTCCGCCACGTTACTATCGGAGATTTGTTCAAAGAGAAGAACTTGCATGATGGATGGGATGACTGGTTCGACTGCTACGTACGTAATTAATGAAGACCTGGTAAGCCCCATTTGATCCCTAGCCCTGATCAAGCACATATATTAATTGCCGAACTTCAATTTCATTTCCTATGTTGCTTTGATATTTTTGGTTTAAGTCAAATTTTCTGGATGTTCATTTTCTAAATCCATATTATCTTTTTTCGTAGGTGTGTGATGAACTTGAAGATATAATGGAAGAAGGTGGAAATATAGTGGATTATCATGGTTGTCATTTCTTTCCCGAGCGATGGTTTGATCGAGTGGTGGTACTTCTGCAAACCGACAGTTCTGTCTTGTATCATCGTTTAAGCGAGAGGCAGTTCAATCTATCAAACTCATATTCTTCAATGTCCATAAAAGTATAGTTTTCTTCTTCTTCTTCTTCTTTTTGTAGCTTCTGCAGTAGGCAATATCAGTATTGATGTTTTTTGGTTTTGGTTTTTGATTTTGTTTTAAACAAAAACATAAGATGTTACTCAGAGACGAAGATATCCAACAACATGGAATGTGAAATCTTCCGATTCCTATTGGAGGAGGCAAAAAAAATTATTACGATAGTAAGATAGTAAAATAACGATTGTAATCATAAATCTTGACTTATAATATTTAAAAGTTAATCCATGAGAAAGAATTACAATGCTTTAAATAAAAAATATTGTTTTAAAAATAATTGTGATCACAGATCTTTGAATAGTAAAATAACAATCATGAAAATTAATTTTGTGAATGTATCTATAACGATTAATAAATTTATTTGAAAATAAAAAATCAAAAGTATTTTAAAAAAAAAAAGAAAAATTCATTAAATAATACCATTATATAAAGCTTGTATTCTACTGCTGCTTCCTCACAGGCTGGATGACTGGCTGGGCTGTTCAATTTGGAGTTAGTTAGGCTTTGTATTGGTCCATATGTTGGCCATCTCAATATTATAAATTTGGGCTGGACCCATTAAAAATCTCAACCAATTTTGGGGAAAAGAAACCAAAAAAAAAAAAAAAACAAATTGTATTAATATTCTAAAAGGAAAAAACAGTATTGATAATGTTTAATTTAATAATATTTTATTTTAAAAAATATTATATTTTCTAAGTAATCTTTTTATATTCTTTTTGAAACAAGAGGGACTAATTTATAATTTACTCTCAAAAGACACAGTCCTAGGTGTTATGCCACATCAGTTATATGTATGTACATCCTGGAGGCTAAATCTTTCAAACGGATAACTCGCAAAAGCAACAATCAGCTGACACTTGACAGATAAACAGGAGAACGAAACCTCTCCCCTCTCCCTCCATTGATTAAAAATGGCAACACTTTCCCTCCCTCTCTATCAAAACACACTCCCTCTTCATCATTTATCTTCTAAACGCCGTCGGTTTCCCATTCCAAACCTTCACTCACCTCTCAAAATCTGCTCTTCTGGTTTGATTTCTTTCTTGGAGTTCAAAGTTTGTATATTTGTCTCTTATGAGCTTTTTTCTTTAATGGGGTGACTTGAAAATGTGGTTAATGCTTGTTGGTTTTGTGGCTCTTGTGAGTGGCAGGTAGTGAAGATGGATCTAAATCAAGGGAAAGCTTGTTTCGGTTTAGTAAGGAGATTAATTGTGTGGCTTGTGGCATTCTTGCTGCTTGGGCTGTCACTGCTGCTTCACCTGTAATTGCTGCTAGTCAGGTTAAAAGTCCAAACTTAAATAACCCATTCTTAGAATTTTATTTTTGCAATCAAATTAAGCATCTATGAGTAATTGTTGTTTTTATTATAGTTAGAGAATTCTGATTCCCTTCTTAATATTTGCATTTTAACAGTTTAGCCATTCTCTGCATTTGGTTGGTCAAAGCAACCCCTTTTAACAATGCTTGCAATGCCAATTGGTGAAACCTAACTTAGGAAGCGGTGTAATTAGTCTCGATTGATGCAAAAACTGGCTAGAGAATGCCCCACTACCCATAAATATCAAAATAAATAAGTAAATAATTGGAGAAGTGGGTGTGACGGGCCTAAGAATTAAAGCTTGAAGGAGATGGTATTAGAGTGTAAGCTTAGGATTATGTTTTAAGCATCCCATTTATGTAGGAATAACATGAACATTGCTTGAATGAAAGGAGTGACCACTTTTGTTAGTTGGTTTGTTAGATGAGGATCTAGGGTCAAAGGGTAAAGGATTTATTTCTTAAATGATTTATTAATGACAATTTTAAGAAAGGAACTGTGTCTGCTTGAGTTGAGAAAGAATTCATGTTGTAGAACGAGTTGAATCATCGGCAAGAATTCTTTCCATTTAAATATGTGCGTGATATGCTTTTATCCAATAGAGATCTTGCTGTTTTTGTAAAGAGGGTGTGGCAGTCTTGGCCTCTTGCAGTCATGCTTGTATAATTGCTTCGAGAAATTGATGTTTAGCCACTTGTGAAATACTCAGTAGTGGTAGAAATGAGTAATGAATTAGGTGTTGGAATTGCAGAATCAGTAGATAATCTCTTGCTACCTTGTTGTATGTGTTGAATCACCTACAACTTCGTTTTTATTTGAACTTGCCAATGCCAATGAAGGGGTTTGCAACCCTTCTGGATTTTCAATCTATTTGTTCTTTTGTGTTTTACACAGAGCATGTTGCTGCCATAAGATATAAATAGCAACAATAGTAACAACACTAAGCTAATGTCAATGTTCTTAAAAATATACAAGACTCCAATGTGTTTGCCTTGCAGAGGCTACCCCCACTATCAACGGAGCCCAATCGGTGTGAGAAGGCATATGTTGGGAACACAATTGGCCAAGCAAATGGTGTTTATGACAAGCCTATTGATCTTCGCTTCTGCGATTACACAAATGAAAAATCCAATCTAAAGGGGAAGTCTCTAGCAGCAGCACTCATGTCAGATGCCAAGTTTGATGGCGCTGATATGTCAGAAGTGGTAATGTCAAAGGCTTATGCTGTTGGAGCTAGCTTTAAAGGTAAGCTTTCAGTTCAGTCCTCAGCTATCTTCTGTAAACCATCCACTTGTAGATGATGAGTACATTGATGCAACTTTTTCGTGGTTGAAAAGTGAAAATGTTCTTACAAATTTTACTCCACAAAATTCCTATTTTCACACACCTAGAAGAGAGGTAAGCAGATCTAAATGAGTAGCAAGTGGAAGGCATGAGTCTTTCTTCCTTCGCTTTTCTTTTGCATTTGAAGGCAAACCCATCCTCTGGAAATGATGAAACCGGCCGCAAAATGGTCCCTTGGTGGTGCTGCAAATGGTATAGAAAAATGACAAATTATATTGAAAACAATAGCAGGTCTGTATAGGTGCCCTAGCGAACTCTGAGAAACATAGAACTATATGCATATGTAAGGATCATTGATGCTAGGATGAGCAGTGGCATGTGGAGTTCCATAATAGGTTGAGGGGAATTCAATAGAACTTGAAGGACAATAACTTGATGTTTACGTACTCATCAACATATCCCGGAAATATGTGTAGTTGCCTTGAATATTTATGAATTTCAGCCTGATCAGAAACCAACAATCCCACGAACAATTTGTAGAATAACCAGAGTTTTTGATATAGGATCACAATGACTCCAATAATTTGCAGGGGTAGACTTCACAAATGCTGTTTTAGACCGAGTTAACTTCGGGAAAGCTAATCTCCAAGGAGCTGTATTTAGGAACTCTGTACTATCAGGCTCCACGTTTGAGGAAGCTCAACTGGAAGATGCTGTTTTCGAGGACACCATTATCGGCTACATTGATCTTCAGAAGCTTTGTATAAATAAATCAATAACTCCTGATGGAAGGGCTGAACTGGGATGCAGATGACCTCAAGTTCATCCTATGTCATTGTCATTAGTCTCGATGGAGATTACTATGTCTTTTAATTTTGTAAATTTACAATCATGTTGAGTGGTTCCATATCCATATAGGAGGATATTTACCTTGTTTATCAAAGGCAGATGGTGATTTGTTTCCATCGATTTTAAGCCGTTTTGAAGATGTCATAGAATAACACAGTCATCAGTCTCTGTGATTCTTGAACACAAAACTTCATTAAAGCTACCATTCTGAGATTATTCTTTGTCTTTTGTCCATCCCATGTCTCATATCTTCCAGTCCTATTGCATGGTGCATTTTTAGCCAGAAAAAAAAAAAAACACTGCTATCAATCCTTTTAACCCTCATTAAAATATTCCAAAAAGTAGGTATTCCATCAATGTCAAGTTCTTCCTTTTTTTTTTGTTTTGAAACTTCCAACTATGAGTCCAATTGATGTGAAACTGCGGCAGTATTGTTCTTTTTGGTTAGGTAAACTACATTAAGGTCCTCTAATTATCAACAAATTTCAATTAGGTCTGTGATCTACAAAAAGTTTCAATTACACCATAGTGAATCAGAACTGATGCACATGTTCCTTTCTCCCATGATGGGTTATTTTCTTAAATTTGAAAATCAATTCAAAATAAATAGATAAAATATTATGCTTTGCAAACCATCAACCATATATTTCAAAACATTGCAAGGAAATACTCATCTTATTGTGAGATTTTTATTTTTGTTTTATAATTTTTTGAAATAAATAGTTATATAATAAAAAATTTAATACCACCAAAAGATATGGTCTAATGGTAAGAAAATTACCTTGATATGGCTAAGATCAAAGTTCAATATGAATAATTAGACGCAGTTATTCTTTGATGATACTAGACATAGGTATGTTTGGTTTAAAAAATAATCCAGTAATCAAAGGATAGACGTGTTTTGAGACTAGTTTAGTTCGAAAAATGATGGATACTTTCTATATTTATTAGATTAATTAGAAACACATCTAGTCGATGACAACGGCAAGGATTATATATTAGAAAGGAAAGGATTAAAATCAAGCAAGCCAACTTTTCTGTCCATCCACTTATTTCTTAGCTAAGAGAAATAATTTTCGCAAGTGCATGATTAAAATACAAGTATAAATATACAAGCAAGCTTAACCTAATGATTATATATTCAGTTAGTTTCTCTAATAAAATAAAATTCGAGTTCTAATAATTTTTTATTTTTATGATTATATGACAGAAAAGACTATCCCTATTGTAAAGCCCAAGAAAAACTTCCTTCAGAACATAAAAGCTCAATTATCCAAAAATACCCTACCATTTAAAAGTGAATTATCTCTAAAAAAAAATAAAGGTAAGAAACTAGTGGATTACATTTCATTTCTTGAAAGAATGATGGAGAAAAGAGGGACAGCATCATTAATATATCTTCCTTTGATTATACGTTTAGCTTCCTGCATCTGCATGAAATGACTTCAACGATCTAAATGCCTCTTAGTAGGCCCCATTGACTGAGCCACACTTGGGGAAAGAAAGGGTTGGTGTCTCTAATGGCTCTACCGTCTCGTATGTGTTGGAAATCGTAGAGAGAGAGAGAGATTTACAATCATCAGATACACCTACCCTGTTTCAATCGGTTTGTGAAAATGTTTACATCATAGTGTATGATTGAATGACTCCCATGTTCTGATTTCAGCATCGTGATTCTTTGATGATGAGGTTGAGAAAGATTTTAAACACATCTTGTCCATTGCCTCTAGCTAACCCCGCCATGGCATCAAACACATGGCCCATCCTTTGTACTGTTTCGAAGACTGAGCTAGCTGAAAGCTTTGTCTAGTACGCAGGTTTCTTTCTTGTTATCCACGTTCGTTTTCCTCGATTTTTTACTAATTACATTGAATTCTGACTTTACTTAGTCATCTAAAGTTGACGGTATGTGAGGTTTATGGACAATACTTGTGTATTTGGGACAAGTTTCTTGTATGTGTAAGAGAGGAGGAATTAAGTTCAAGCTGAATGGATGATTTTTATTTAGTTTTATATTAAAAAATGGGTTTTACCCGTGTTAATATTCTGTACAATTCGAATTTTTTTGATCGAGAAACTAATTTTTTTTATTTAATTTGAAAATTCTATTCTTATATTGTTCTTGTTTCGGACCCTAACAAATAACGAGTTTGTCACGTGTACATTCTAGCTAATAATATCTTATCACGTCATCGATTCAATCACCAATTTAAATCCATCATGACACTTGATAAGTTGTTATTGGTTAGAGCTTGTCGCATATGCTTATATGATATATTAGGATTTGAAATAACAATATAAGAGTAAGACTCTTAAATTGGATAAAAAAAATTTAAGGTTTCAACAAAAAAAAAAAAAGAATCATACAAGATTTCAATATATATTGACAAGTTGTTATTGGTTAAAGCTTGTCACATATACTTATGTGACATATTATGGTTTAAAATAATAACATAAAAGTAAAACTCTTAAATTACATAAAAAAAAATTAAGGTTTCAATAAAAAAAATAAATCGTACAAGATTTCGATATATATATATATATATATATATATATATATATATATATATATATATATATATATATATATTTTTTTTTTTTTTTTTTTTTGAGACCTTACCAATCGGTTGGTTCCCTCCAACAATAAATGCCATTCAACAATAGCACGTCTAATTAATAATAACTATATATTGAGATTTTCTTTAACACACAACTTCAATGTATTCGGAATGAGTTTCATGTACATGTGAGAGAGAGAAAGATTATTGTAATTAAATGATTTTTTTATGGTAAAAAATTGATTTCTTACAAACCATTGTTTACTTACCACATGATAGATGTGACATGAAATAACCCATTTAATTTTAGCCATAGTTTTTCTCACACATTTTTTATATTCTATGGATGGTTATGCATTAGTAATGAGTTTCGTGTTTATGTAAAACATTGAGAGAGTGAGGATTGTATTGAATGATTTTTCTTTATTTTTATATAAAAAAATCTTGAGACTTTATCAATCATTGGATACCTAACATGAGAAATATGATTTACGTATCATCATAGCCTAACTAATAAGGGGGAGAAATTTCCTTTCGCATGCATGTATTTCTTAATTACAAAAATTTATATGTTTGCGTACATATGAGAGAGAAAAAGATTATTCTAGTTAAATGATTTTTTCGTGGAAAAACCTATAGATCTTATCGATCATTGGTTACCGAACATAATAAATATTATGATATGTCATAATCCATCTAATTTTAGTCATGAGATTTTCTCATTAAGTACACCTTTTATATTCTATTGACCATTATGTCTTGGTAATGAATTTTATTTCTATATAAAATATATGACACTTTACCAACCATTAATTACCTAATATGATAAATGTGATTTACCATTATAACCAAGCCAATAAGGGAGGTAGAAATTTCCTTTCACACACATGTATTTTTTGTATTTTTTATATAAATGTATATATTCACGGGTTTCACATATATGTGAGAGAGAAAGATTATTCCAATTAAATGATTTTTTTATAAAAATAAATCTTGAGACCTTATTGATCAATGCATGGTTATCGAACATGACATATATGATCCGTCATAATCTATCTAATTTTACTCATGAGATTTTTTTACACACCTTTCATATTCTATGGACCGTTATGTATTAGTAATGAATTTTGTTTTTATATAAGACATGAAGAGCGTGAAGGATTATAATCTAGGCTAACTGAATGATTTTTCTTTATTTTTATATAAAAAAAATCGTGAGACTTTGCCAACCATTGGTTATCTAAAATGATAAATGCAATCTACCATCATAACCGAGCTAATAAGGTGGGGGGCGAAATTTTCTTTCACATACATGTATTTTTTCATATTTTTTATATAAATTTATATATTCACAAGTTTCACATATATGTGAGAGAGAACGATTATTCTAATTAAATGATTTTTTATAGAAAAACCTTGAGATTTACTGATCATTGGTTACCAAACATGACATATATGATATCTCATAATCCATCTAATTTTAGCCATGAGATTTCCTCACACACACCTTTCATATTTTATGGACCGTTATGTATTGATAATGAATTTTTTCTTTATATAAGATATTGAGAATGTGAAGGATTATATTCTTGGTTAATTGAATGATTTTTCTTGATTTTTGTATAAAAAAGGTTTCTTGAGACTTTACCAACCATTGGTTACCTAACATGATAAATGTGATCTACCATCATAACCAAGCCAATAAAGGGGGTTGAAATTTCCTTTCACAAATGTATTTTTTGTAATTTTTATATAAATTTATATATTCACAAGTTTCACATATACGTGAGAGAGAAAGATTATTCCAATTAAATTATTTTTTTATAAAAAATCTTGAGACCTTATCGATCAATGTGTGGTTATCAAATATGACGGATATGAACTGTCATAATTTATCTAATTTTAGCCATGAGATTTTTTCACACACACCTTTCATTTTCTATGGACCGTTATGTATTGGTGATGAATTTTGTGTTTATATAAGACATTGAGATCGTGAAGGATTATATTCTAGGCTAATTGAATGATTTTTCTTTATTTTAATATATATATAAAAAATTCTTGAGACTTTACCAACCATTGGTTATCTAACATGATAAATGTGATCTACCATCATAACATGGCTAATAAGGGGGTAAGAAATTTTCTTTCATACACATGTATTTTTTGTACTTTTTATATAAATTTATATATTCACGGAGTTTCACATATATGTGAGAGAAAGATTATTCTTATTAAATGATTTTTTTTATAAAAAACCTTGAGACCTTACCAATCATTGGTTACCGAACATGATAGATATGATCTGTCATAATTCATATAATTTTAGCCATGAGATTTTCTCACATACCTTTTATATTCTTTAGACGAGTTATGTTTTGGTAATGAGTTTCATGTTTATATAAGA